ATGACAGACTTGATTCACCATGGCAACCGCAAATCAAGGTGCTAGTGCGAATTAAAGCCCTGCTTAAAAGGCTTTTTGTATTTAAAAATGAATTTCAATCAAGTAGATATTGGGTTAAGGCTTTACGTTCTTTGTACTTGTTGACTGAGAAGCTGCTTTGCTGTGGTCAGTATTTGTACATTCAGATTGGAGATAACTGTGATAACTCTACCCAGCAAGTACAGGTAGTCTATTTGTAATTCAGTTTTGTGTAAACTGTAATGAATATAGATGATCAGCATTTTTTTTAATGTAATATATGCTCCTTCCTTCAAAAGAATCAAGTATATTTCCTTTTTTTCCCCTAAATTATTTTACAACCATCATTTTACAGTCATTGTCATTGTCCTTTAAAAAGCTAATTTTCTTATAAACTTAGGTTAGTATTTGTTACTGTTATGCAGCTTTAATTAAAATAAACTAGCATGCCTGCAAATTCATTTAGTCTCTCCAGTCAGAATTGTTTTAATTAGTTCCTTTACTACAGTGCAATTAGTTTTTACAACACAAGGTTAGTTTTCTCTTCCATTATATCAGCACTTATTGTTTTCACAATACCATAAATACTAATTTAGTATTATTAGTTTAACCTTTACACTCTTTTCAGTTTGAAATATATTCAAGTAAAATTGAATATTCAATTAAATATGCTAAAGCACAACACATTTTTTTAAAAAAACACTTAGAATGATTTTTTACACTTCCAATTTTAACACAGAAGATCATATTTGTTGCAATGTAAAACCAAAAGCACCAGAAAAAATACAACCATAGTAGCCATAAGGTTCAATAGGTGCTTTCTGCACCTGGTGTTTCACATGTAAACCCACAATGATACTTACCTTTAGTCCAAATCAGTTAACGCTGGTCTAGAATTGGTTTAAGGTTTAAAATAAAGAATCACTGAATATAAAAGACATCGCAACAAATTAAGTTAAAACGAGTGTACTGTTTAGTGTAAGAAGCCTCACATACTGGAGTCGCACTGGGCTATTTCCTTTGCGTAGCATTTGGAATCGGCTAGTTCTTAAATACGAGCAAGTCTTAATTTTGAAGCTTTTGTTTTCTGTCATTTCTTTTTCGAACCGCATCAAACAATGTGAGCACTGAGAATTGGGGAAATTACTCACTTTGCAAAGTTCACCTGATTGTTCCAATACTCTTCATATTCTGATTTAAAGAGACAATATGCTTCTCAAATTAAGATGTAACGTTAGCCACACATTGTCAAGAGATTTATCTCGTTTTACTGGCAAATTGGGTAACAGATTATTGACTAATTCAGAGCGCACAACAATAAAGTGTCAATGAAGTGCTGGCAGGCAAGTTCCTCATATTCATAGTGGGATGTACAGATGCCAACTGCAATAACATTAATCTTTAATTCTTGCAACATAACATGTGAAACGCATCTGCACAACAATTGCACACAGCAGTGTCCCACAAACAGCCGTGGACCAAATTATTATTTTTTTTGAAGGGATTATGGAATTAGGGTCCCTTTTTTTTTGAAGGGATGAAGGGTGCAATATAAAAGCAAACTGCATTGTATTACAAGTTTCTCAATGTAGTTTTAAAATTGTTTTCAGGCCACTTAAGGTCTAATGTTTCTCCAGTAATACTATATTTTCTGCTAATGTTAAGGGGACTTATAAATATAAAAATAATAATACTTTCAATGTAACATGGAATTTGGAGCACAACATGTAAAATGTTTGTCTCCTGAAGGCAGATAGATTATAATGAGGACAAATTCAGATGAAGATGATTTTTTTTTAAAATGAAGTCAATAGTAGATTTCTTAATTTTCAAGGTTAGGGTTAAAACGAAAATGATAGGACCATTTATCTTGAATTTCATGGAGTAATCACTTTTTTAAAAGGGCTTATGAACTACTCAAGAAAAATATAGCATCACATAGAGTGAAAGTTCACTACATTATAAAGGTGACAAGCAACTATCCATGCACAATGGACAAGACAGATACATGGACAATGCCACCGCATAAATCACCCATTCCTGTAGAGAGTGTTGCGGGGGTGGGGGAAAAATGCAAAGAAATGATTGCAGAGTCAGATTTACCGATGGTAAGATAAGTATCTTTAGGTCGAACTCTGAAGTCAGAAAGACAAAATTATTTTCACTTTTATCCTGAAAGCCCAACAACGTAGAGTTTCTGGAAGCAGTACCTTAACTCGGATGGACATAAATGCAATGGTAAATGACCTTTCTACTTAGCCACGACAATAATTAGAATGGAGTTGTCCTTTGAAAAGCCTGTAGGGCATTGAAGATCTCAATGTAGTAGTTTGCTGTTTGCAATATCATAATCCTGTTCTGGATTGTCTTTGCTTACTGTTCAAAAAGCGGTTTTGTAAGATTCACCTCCTATTAAGACATAGGCAGGGCATGAAATAACCTTCTAAACTATAATTCAGTTTAAATCTGTCAGATCTAAGAACATTCCTCTTCTTGTAATGCTATAGTTGAAATAACATGATTTGAGCTGTTTTTCCCCACTGGCTTAATAATAATAATAATAGTAATAATATTCCTTGCATTTCACAACGGGAGAACATCCCAATGGACAAATGCATCATATGATGTGGATCAGGAAAGTCCCAGGTTCAGTGCCCATTAAATGCCAATATAGCTGATCTCAGTTGGGACAGTAATGAGGCATAACAGCTGGCTTTACTGTTCCTTGTCTCGGAGGTGGAAGTAAAACAGTCAGGGGAAGCTCCTCATTATCATCAAGTGATCTTCGCTGGAAAATTGACGTTGGATAAAGCCCAGGAATGAGTTTAGCTGCTAAAACCCACTCCCATAATTTAATAATCTGCCAGCATTCATTAGCCCACAAAAAGAATGGGTGATTGGGCAAGGTCGGGGGTGGGGGGAGAAAGGGGGATAGGCTTGTGGGATCCATGGAATCATATCCCAACATGAATCAGCATCTTCGTGGATGGGGTGGGAGAAGAAGAAAACGAGAATATTTGTGTCAAAAGTACTCAGTATTTAGAAGTCACAGGGGAGTGAGTAACTAATGCCAAACATGGGCTCCATCTCACACTGCCAATAAAATGGTTCAGTTGCTTTTCCCACTGGTGTGGAGATTTAAAGCTCCAATATTAAAATAATCCTTGCATTTGATATTAATGCACATATGAAAAAAATGCCATATATATGCATATATATAACAAAAAACACCTGTTACAGAAAAAAAATCTATAAATGTTCTCTTATAATTGTAGTTCAAATATATTGACATTCTATTAGTGAAGTCTCGCAGAATGGATACTTTAGGCGTGGATAACTAGCAATATATAATTATGACGAATGCCTCCCTTCCTTTGGCAGCAACACTGGGTGTTTCTGGTAAGATTGAATATACCTATATTTCAAAATAGAAAACAATTCAACAAGTGTACTGAAATATACACTGCACGTCGTCTTAATACTGCCCAATCTACAGTTTTTCAAAACTGGGGATAATTGTGCTGTCTTGACTATATTTTACAAGTGAAATATAAAAATTTTACTCTTGTTGATTTCGTTGTCATCCACCAACTATTTAAGTTTTCATTCACCCACAAAATATAATCACTATACTTTACGGTAAATCCTATGAAGCACTTTGATACATTCTCGTGACGTGAAAAGCACTACATCAAATATCATTATTCATTATGACTATTATTAATAATAATGATCATTTGCACAATATGATCACCCAATCAAAGCAACTCAGTCACATTTGATCATATTTGTACCATAAGTCTGGAATTAAAGACTCAAAACTTGCAACAGTTTCCTTGCATTCTCTTCTCTTCAATATGCTCCCCTCCTCATCTATTCGCTATTAGACGCACTACACTTTAATTCCTTCAATATAGTTTTCTTACAGATAGACAGAGAAAGGCAGGACAACAACAAGGAGAAAGTCGCATTCCTCTGAAGAGGTTTTTATTTCACATTACACAATGTGGCTTTGCCTATCCATACAAGTCATATGGCTTGCCATCTCCGCTATGGTCCAACATCAGCTTGTTGTTGTTGTGCAGGGAATGAAAACCTGATAACCTGGAAGTTAGCACACACTCATACACACACTCACACAAAATAGTCATGCGGAAAAAGTAGTGTCAGAGGTAATTAAATCTCTGTAACTCAGCCATTTTGCCTTCCTGTGTGCTAACTTCCAGGTTATCAGGTTATCATTCCCTGCACAACAACAACAAGATTACACATTTGTACAGCGCCTTTCACGTCAGGAGGACGGCCCAAGGCGCTGGACAGTGCACAGCATTTCAGACCCAAGCTGGGATTGGGGTGGGGAGAGGCGGGGAGAAGGGAGGGGAGAGGAAGAGGGTTTTGGCTGATGGCATGAACAAAGAGGAGGAACTTGAGGCGGGACTTGAAGGAGGCTAAGGAGGGGGCGAGGCGCAGTGATTGGGGGATTGAATTCCAGAGGTTGGGGGCAGAGTGGCTTAAGGCTCACCCGCCAATGGTGGGGCGGGTGGGTCGGGGATGTGGAGCAGCCAGAGCCGGCTGAGAGGAAGGAGCGGGCGGGTTGGTAGGGGTTAGGAGGTCACAGAGGTAGGGTGGGGCGAGGCCATGGAGGGCTTAAAAGGTGAGGACCAGGATCTTGAACTGCATCCTCTGAAGGATAGGGAGTCAATGGAGTCGGGCGAGAATGGGGGAGATGGGGTCACGGAGTTTGGTGCGGGAGAGGACACGATGCAATGCAAGACATGTCAGCCAATCCACTATAGCGCTGGTTAGGATTTTATGAAGCTACTGCATTAAACAGAGCTCTATCATTCACGGTATAACCGGTGAACTGAGATCTGTTAGGATATTGGGTCTTTTTTTTCCTATTCCTTCAGGTATCATTTTGTACAAAGTCAAATAATGAATCTTAAAAAAAACAACGGCAAAAACAAAGCCACCTTTCTTACCGTTCATTAGTGGAACTAGCTGCCTAGTAAAAAGAATCCTGGAAAACAAAATTGAAAAGATGGTTGAAAGATACGCTGTCAAAAACACCTTACAAGATACTGTTCTTCAGACAACAGACAAAGTCAATGAGCAATCGAAAACCACTACACGCATAAAACGCCACATGCGGCCCGTGAAGTTATCTACGCAGGTGAAACAAAACAGGAGATACATGTCAGCCTGGTTTATCATGCATATGCAGCGAGCATCAAATTCTACATGGCTTCCACATCACTTAACATGTCCTAGACACCCAGAAATGTCAAACCAATAGCCATCACGTCAAGATTTTTTGAATGGAGTTTTACACAGGATTTAAAATAGAACTTTTCATGCACTATTGTGGGTTGAGTTCATATAGAACCAGAATAGCGCTCATTAACGTATGTAGAGAATACAACATTTATTGCAGGAGACAAGCTCAAGAAAACAAGTAAACTGCGACTACAAATTAAGATTTTTGTTAAAAAAAGACACCAAATGCACTAGTCAATATCTACTGAGCAAAAAAGTTATCCAAAAATAACCCAGTATCAAGCAAAAACAAAAGGGTAATAATTCCTTCAGAAAAATAATAATGTGGTCGCTCAATCCGCAACTGTTTGTGGAACACTGCTGTGCGCAATTGGCTGCCGTGTTTCGTCCACAAAATACACAGTCACTACACTTTATGGTACATTCTGTGAAACGCTTTGAGACATCTTGAAGACATGATAAGGCGCTATATCAAATGTAAGCATTGTTATTAATAGAAAAGCCTATGTGTTAATGCATTTCTAAGTTCTATTTCAATAGAATTTACTGTCCCGATGTACAACTGCTCATAGTTATCTACAACATTCTGAAAAATGTAATTTACAACTCCAGTCAATGCCGTGTAAACGTAACGATAACGGATCCTAAAATGCTACTGATTAAGCAACGTACAATTGTGGGTTCTGGCTGAGTAGAGGTAGGATGTAAATCTTCTGAATACTTTCCTAACTTCATTACTGTATTCTCCTCATAGACACATCTGGCGCTTCCAATTTAGGCTTGGTGCCAAACACAAGTCAAAAAATCCTCCCACTGCCACCAGCTTCTGCAACCTTAGCACCCCTGGAAATGTCTGTTTCTTCTGCAACGTGAATTCCACTCACTGGTACAGTTACTGTTTCGTCTTAAAAATCACACGCACTGCACACCATCAACTCAGTAGCACAAAGCAATTATCACTACCAGCTGAGGAATGTGAACTTGATAGAGTGGTACAGATTGCATCTTATGATTTGGATGTTGGCATCGCTTGGAAAGGATTATTGACCGCAGATAAAGCCGGGATACATGAATTCTATCAAATAAAGTAAACACGTGCCCACCCAGGATTGATGCTGTAGCCTTTCTGCGTAACCTAGATTACCCGCATGTTTAGGGTGGAGAGTGGAATCTCTCGCAGATGATGTATAGACACACCAGCTATTTTTTTTTCTTTCTAAAAACGGGATTCGGAGAGAGTGACAGGTATGCAGCTGACCGCTCCCTGAACATCTGGAAATGTTGCAACAACAGAAAACTTCTGCTTTCTTGACAAATGTTCCTTTTTTTTTGGAAGGAGAGAACAAAGCACAAAAGCTGTAACGCAGAAGCCTCGCTCACCTGAATATAGCATCTCGTTGTGCTCAGAGTTGGGAAGCACTCTGAGGCATAAGAAATATCAAGGCAGCTGTAGCTTTCAGTCACAAGGCAGAGCAGCGAGGGATGACATTTTTGTCAGCCAGGTGTCTGACACAAGGTGTGCTTAATCCAAACCAGACAGAGTTCCTGATATTACATTCCACCAACACAATCAATCTATTCTTTGTCTGAAATGAGTGCGCACTCTCTCTCTCTCCCTGGAACAATGCCCATAGTTAATCACCTAATTCCAGAAAATAATATGACCAGGTTGATAAAAGCTTTAGAACCCCAAAGTGTGTTTCGAGGTACTGCTGGAGTTTAATCTGCTAAAACTATATTGCTTCCCATTGAGAGGACTTCCCATTGTAAGCTCTCTGCTACTTGTCCAGCTAGGAACATCCTACCTGTTAGGGCTTTCGCTTGTAAGGTTAACAGGAGTGAATCGGAATGAGAATCCTTGCACCCGATGACTGGTCTGCCCGTGTAAGTTCAGGATGACTGGTCTGTCATTAACTACTGTGACTGCCACAAATGAGTTGATTGCAATATTCCATTGCCAGACACCCCAGTGCAACTTAGCATGAAATGCGCAAGAGCTTTGCTATCATACATCTGCCTGCACCAAGCTAGGACACGCACACACACACACACACACACACACACACACAAGGGCGGTGGTTCCATCAGTTGGATGTCAAAAAAAAACCTCAGCGCCCCCCCCAACCCCTGGGTTCACATCAGAGCCCACCATGGTCTTGTTGGGTTGGCTGCCCCAGCCCATGGGATAATGCCATCCACCTGACCGCTCGCTCCCGGTCCCCGCGTGCGCACTATGGCTGCCGCTTTGACCCTCACCCCCTCACCCCCTCCCTCCTCTCTACCCCCAAACCCTGCCCCCTCTGCATCTCTCCCGCTCTCTCCTCCTCTCTCTCCGTCCCTCTCGCCTTCTATCCCCACTTGACCCTCCCACAACCTCCCTCTGCTCCAGCCTGGGAATCCTCCGCCGGGCTCACCGCGGCACTCGGCGTTGGCTGTCCAGCAGCAGCCACACCGACTGCCCCATTCCCCACCACACTCGATATTTCGACACTTCTTACATCTCTCTGCCTCTGCTCTGATCGCCTCATCATCCTGGGCGACTTCAACCTGCACTTCACCCCCTCCTGCTCCATCTCCTCAGACTTCTCTTCCCTGCTCTCCTCACTCAACCTCTCCCTCCACATCAACTCCCCCACTCACAGTCACAGCCACCCACTCGACTTGGTGATCACCCGGGGCCTCAGTGTCTCGGATGTCACCACCTCCACCCCCCTCCCCAACTCCACCAGACCCACCACCATCTTCAACCGCCCATGGAAGAAGTTACCCCCTCAATCCCTAACCGCTGCCTTGGAGTCCTCTGAACTCCTCTCCCTCTGGCCTTCAACCCTCACTGACCCCTCTTCTCCTCTCACCCTCCTCCACAACACCCTCTCCTCCACACTCGCTACTTTTGCCCCCATCACCTCCCGTACTGTCTCCTACTCTCGCTCCTCCCCCTGGTTCACCACCCACCTCCGCTCACTGAAAAGCCAGGTGCGGGCCACTGAACGCACCTGCGTCAAATCTGGCCTAACGGTCCACCGACAAATCTGGCTGGACCTCCTCAAAATCTACCGCTCCACTCTAGCCTCGGCCAAGTCGTCCTTCTACTCCAGGATAATCCTGGAGGCGAAGAACAACCCCAGGCTACTGTTTTCTACCACATCCCGACTCCTCCGTCCCCCCGCCACCCCGCGCAGGTCATCTCCTCCAACCTTCACTGCGAGGAGATGCTGGATTTCCTTGAATCCAAAATCAAGGGAATTCGCTCCGCGGTCACTTCCCCTCCAACATCCACCCACCCCCCACCCCCTCCCTCCCACACTCCGACTCCTACCCATCCTCCCCTACACACTTTCGTACCCGTTTCCCCACCCTCTGTCACCAAACTCATCCTATCCCTGAAACCCACCACCTGCTCCCTTGACCCCATCCCCACTCCACTCCTTATCTCCCAGCTCCACCTCCTTGCCCCACATATCACAGACATCGTCAACCTGTCCCTCTCCTCTGGCTCTGTTCCCATTCCATTAAAAACTGCCACCATCACTCCCACCTTGAAAAAACCCTCCCTTGATGCGTCGCAGCTATCAAGCTACCGGCCCATCTCCAACCTCCCCTTCCTGTCCAAGGTCCTGGAACGAGTTGTCGCCTCCCAGCTGCGCTCTTTCCTCTCCACCCATTCATTATTCGAACCCCTTCAGTCAGGTTTCCGTGCTGCCCATAGCACAGAAACTGCCCTGGTCAAGGTCACCAATGACATCCTGACCATCTGTGACCAGGGCTCCCTCTGCCTCCTCGTCCTCCTCGACCTATCGGCAGCATTCGATACGGTCGACCACGCTATCCTCCTCCACCGCTTGTCCTCCCACCTCAACCTTCAAGGCCCTGTCCTTGAGTGGTTTAGGTCGTACCTCTCCCACCGTCTTCACTTTGTTTCCACGAATGGCTTTTCCTCCACCCCCCGCACTGTCTCGTGCGGTGTCCCTCAGGGCTCTGTCCTCGGTCCCCTCCTCTTCACCCTCTATATGCTCCCCCTGTGGTGACATCATCCGCAGACATGGGGTTAACTTCCACATGTATGCGGATGACACCCAACTCTACCTTTCCTCCTCTACCTCAACTCCACGACCACCGATGTCCTGACAGCTGCCTGTCCGACATCGAGTCCTGGACGAGAGACAACTTTCTTCAGCTCAACGTGCGTAAAACTGAGGCCCTCCTGATTGGCTCACGTCAGCGCCTCCGCACCTCAGGCGCTGACAGCATCAGCATCCAAGGCTGCACTCTCCACCTCTCAAAGCCATCAGGAACCTCGGTGTTCTGTTCGACCCTGAGCTGTCCTTTCTCCCTCATATCCGCGCCACAACTGGCACCGCCTTCCATCACCTCCGGAACATCGCCAGACTACGGCACTACCTCACCCCTCACGCGGCTGAAACTCTGGTCCACGCCTTTATCACCTCAAGGCTGGACTATGGGAACTCTCTCCTCGCCGGCCTTCCCGGCCCTCCCTCCACACTGCAGGTCATTCAGAACTCTGCAGCTCGTGAACTGTCCCACACCAGACACCGCGACCACATCACTCCCACCCTCGCTCGCCTCCACTGGCTCCCCATCCCCCAGAGGATCGAATTCAAGATCCTCATCCTCACCTACAAGGCCATTCACGGCCTCGCTCCCTCCTACCTCTCCGACCTACTATCCCCCTACTTACCTGCCCGTACCCTCCGTTCCTCTGGCTCTGGTCTGCTCCACATC